TATGAGTGCTGAAACAGAAAGTTCAAAATTTTTTCAACATTCAAGAAAGATAAGTTTGTCCAAAATCATTGAACCACGACCAAATTCAAACTTAAACTGCTCATTCCTAAGATGTATCTATATTATCTTCAATGTGAAAGGGGCATAACTCTGCCAAAAATCATCGAACCATGACCAAATTCGAACTTGACCTGTATTTTCTCAAGACATATCCATATGTCAAATTTGAGTTGAATGTGTTGTACCTTTGGGGAGATAATGAACGGAAACTGAAAATTTCATGTTATTTTCAAAGTAAAAGGGGCATAACTCTGCCAAAAATCATCGAACCATGACCAAATTTGAACTTGACCTGTATTTTCTCATGACATATCCATATGTCTAATTTGAGTTGAATGTGTTGTACTGTTGGGGAGATAATGAACAGAAAATGTAAATTTCATATTATTTTCAAAGTAAAAGGGGCATTACTCTGCCAAAAATCATTGAACCATGACCAAATTCTAACTTGGCCTGGGCATTCCAAAAACATATCCATATGTCTAATTTGAGTTGAATGTGTTGTACTGTTGGGGAGATAATAAACAGAAACTGAAAATTTCATATTATTTTCAAAGTGAAAGGGGCATAACTCTGCCAAAAATCATCGAACCATGACCAAATTCGAACTTGACCTGTATTTTCTCAAGACATATCCATATGTCAAATTTGAGTTGAATGTGTAATACCATTGGGGAGATAATGAACGGAAACTGAAAATGTCATATTATTTTCAAAGTAAAAGGGGCATAACTCTGCCAAGAATCATTGAACCATGACCAAAGTCGAACTTGACCTGTATTTTCTCATGACATATCCATATATTAAGTTTGAGTTGAATGTGTAATACCATTGGGGAGATAATGAACGGAAAATGAAAATTTAATATTATTTTCAAAGTAAAAGGGGCATAACTCTGCCAAAATCATTAAACCATGACCAAATTTGATCTTGACCTTTATATTCTCTTGATGTATCGATATGTCAAATTTGATTTGAATGTGTAATACCGTTAAGGAGATAATGAAAGGAAATTGAAAATTTCATATTAGTTTCAAAGTAAATGGGACATAACTCTACCAAGAATCATCGAACCATGAGCAAATTTAAACTTGACCTGTATTTTCTCATGACATATTCATATATTAAGTTTGAGTTGAATGTGTAATACCATTGGAGAGATAATGAACAGAAACTGAAAATTTCATATTATTTTCAAAGTAAAAGGGGCATAACTCTGCCAAGAATCATCGAACCATGACCAAATTCGAACTTGACCTGTATTTTCTCATGATATATCCATATGTCAAATTTGAGTTGAATGTGTGCAACCGTTACTAAGATAATGAACGGAAACTGATGATGACGGAATGACAGAATGACGGAATGACGGAATGACGGAAGGACGGAATGACGGAAGGACGGAAGGACGGAACAGGGTAACACTATATGCCCCGGCCATTACATGGCGGGGGCATAATAAACAAAAGGGCAATAACTTTAAAATAAGGCAAGGCAGAGTAATGATTCTTAAGCACTGCACTTCCACCCAATGAGACCTATCTATCTACAAAGTTTCATGTTGATATCTCTTATAATTTCAGAGTAATGTCCCGGACAAAGTTCAAAGTGTCAAAATGAACAAAGGCCAATAACTCCAAAGGTAGGCAAGACAGTGTTACAGTTCTTGTGCACTGCAAACCTACTTAATGAGAGCTATCTACCTACAAAGTTTCATGTTGATACCTCTTATACTTATAGAGTTATATCCTGGACAAAGTTCAAAGTGTGAAAATAAACAAAGCGGGGTAATTAAAAAATTAGGCAAGGCACAGTTACGGTTCTTGTGCACTGCACACCTACTCAATGGGATCTATCTACCTACAAAGTTTCATGTTGATACCTCTTATAGTTTTACAGTTATGTCCTGGACAAAGTTCAAAGTGTAAAAATAAAGGGAAATAACTCCAAAGGTAGGCAAGACAGTGTTACAGTTCTTGTGCACTGCAAACCTACTTAATGAGAGCTATCTACCTACAAAGTTTCATGTTGATACCTCTTATACTTATAGAGTTATGTCCTGGACAAAGTTCAAAGTGTGAAAATAAACAAAGCGGGGTAATAACAAAATTAGGCAAGGCACAGTTACGGTTCTTGTGCACTGCACACCTACTCAATGGGATCTATCTACCTACAAAGTTTCATGTTGATACCTCTTATAGTTTTACAGTTATGTCCTGGACAAAGTTCAAAGTGTAAAAATAAACAAAGGGGAATAATTAAATAAATCAGGCAAGGCAGAGTTACGGTTCTTGTGCACTGCACACCTACTCGTTGAGATCTTTCTACCTACAAAGTTTTATGTTGATACCACTTATAGTTTTAGAGTTATGTCCCGACCAAAGTTCAAAGTGTAATATAAACAAAGGGGGATAATTCAAAAATAAGGCAAGGCAGAGTTACGGTTTTTGTGCACTGCACACCTACTCAATGAGATCTATCTACCTACAAAGTTTCATGTTGATACCTCTTATACATTTAGAGTTATGTCTCGGACAAAGTTCAAAATGTAAAAATAAACAAAGGGGGATAATTCAAAAATTAGGCATAGCAGAGTTACGGTTCTTGTTCACTGCACACCTACTCAATGAGGTCTATTTACCTACAAAGTTTCATGTTGATACCTAATATAGTTTTAGTTATGTCCTGGACAAAATTCAAAGTGTAAAATAAACAAAGGGGAATAATTCAAAAATTAGGCAAGGCAGAGTTACAGTTCTTGTTCACTGCACACCTACTCAATGAGGTCTATCTACCTACAAAGTTTCATGTTGATACCTATTATAGTTTTAGAGTTATGTCCTGGACAAAATTCAAAGTGTAAAATAAACAAAGGGGAATAATTCAAAAATTAGGCAAGGCAGAGTTACGGTTCTTGTGCACTGCACACCTACTCAATGAGATCTATCTACCTACAAAGTTTCATGTTGAAACCTCTTATACTTTTAGAGTTATGTCCAGGACAAAGTTCAAAGTGTAAAATAAACAAAGGGGGATAATTCAAAAATTAGGCAAGGCAGAGTTACGGTTCTTGTGCACTGCACACCTACTCAATGAGATCTATCTACCTACAAAGTTTCATGTTGATACCTCTTATACATTTAGAGTTATGTCCCGGACAAAGTTCAAAGTGTAAAAATAAACAAAGGGGGATAATTCAAAAATTAGGCATAGCAGAGTTACGGTTCTTGTTCACTGCACACCTACTCAATGAGGTCTATTTACCTACAAAGTTTCATGTTGATACCTATTACAGTTTTAGTTATGTCCTGGACAAAATTCAAAGTGTAAAATAAACAAAGGGGAATAATTCAAAAATTAGGCAAGGCAGAGTTACAGTTCATGTTCACTGCACACCTACTCAATGAGGTCTATCTACCTACAAAGTTTCATGTTGATACCTATTATAGTTTTAGAGTTATGTCCTGGACAAAATTCAAAGTGTAAAATAAACAAAGGGGAATAATTCAAAAATTAGGCAAGGCAGAGTTACGGTTCTTGTGCACTGCACACCTACTCAATGAGATCTATCTACCTACAAAGTTTCATGTTGATACCTCTTATACTTTTAGAGTTATGTCCCGGACAAAGTTCAAAGTGTAAAATAAACAAAGGGGGATTAATTCAAAAATTAGGCAAGGCAGAGTTACGGTTCTTGTGCACTGCATTTTACTCAATGAGATCTATCTACCTACAAAGTTTCATGTTGATACCTCTTATACATTTAGAGTTATGTCCCGGACAAAGTTTAAAGTGTAAAAATAAACAAAGGGGGATAATTCAAAAATTAGGCATAGCAGAGTTACGGTTCTTGTTCACTGCACACCTACTCAATGAGGTCTATTTACCTACAAAGTTTCATGTTGATACCTATTACAGTTTTAGTTATGTCCTGGACAAAATTCAAAGTGTAAAATAAACAAAGGGGAATAATTCAAAAATTAGGCATGGCAGAGTTACAGTTCTTGTTCACCGCACACCTACTCAATGAGGTCTATCTACCTACAAAGTTTCATGTTGATACCTCTTATACATTTAGAGTTATGTCCCGGACAAAGTTCAAAGTGTAAAAATAAACAAAGGGGAATAATTCAAAAATTAGGCAAGGCAGAGTTACGGTTCTTGTGCACTGCACACCTACTCAATGAGATCTATCTACCTACAAAGTTTCATGTTGATACCTCTTATACATTTAGAGTTATGTCCCGGACAAAGTTCAAAGTGTAAAAATAAACAAAGGGGAATAATTCAAAAATTAAGCAAGGAAGAGTTACGGTTCTTGTGCACTGCACACCTACTCAATGAGATCTATCTACCTACAAAGTTTCATGTTGATACCTCTTGTTGTTTCAAAGTTATGATCCGGACAAGAAAAGGGGACGGACGGACGTTTTAACAGGAGAGTAATAATGTGGCTACTCTATTGTTCTCTTTATTGTTCTTTTTAGCCACACAAAAGAAAATAGCCACATAAAAGCATTACGGAATGAATGACATAAAAGAGAAAGAACAGTTACCTATTGTCCCTCTAGCCACATAATTATTGTCCTGTGAGTGCGGACGGACGGACGGAAAGACGGACGTTCTCACAGGACAGTAATTATGTGGCTACTCTATTGTTCTCTCTATTGTTCTTTTTAGCCACACAAAAGAAAATAGCCACATAAAAGCATTACGGAATGAATGACATCAAAGAGAAAGAACAGTTACCTATTGTTTCTCTAGCCACATAACTACTGTCCTGTGAGTGCGGACGGACGGACAAGGCGGCGACTATATGCTCCCCCGAAACTTTTCGGGGAGCATAAATAAAAGCCTATGTCATTTTGGATCATCCCTTCTACATGCAATTTAATTGACCCTCAAGCTTACACTGTCAAATTGCTTGAGATTTTAGTATTATTACAAACAATTAATTAATTTATATATGAGGAAGTCAAAGTATTCCAACTTATCTCCATATAAAAAGATAAAAACATAATAATACAATAAATACACATACTCTTCTTTTTCTTCTTCTTCTTTTTTTGTATAAGAGCAGCTGTGTCACCAGATCTGTAATAAATTATTTATGGAAAATGTCAAATGTTATGCAAATTTTTACTAAGTCAAGGGCAATAACTCTAAAAATACTACATAAATTCACATGAAAAACCCAGGTGCACAACTACTTATGCCAATCACATTCCTGAAAAGTTTCATGACTCTAGGTCAAATCCTTTTTGAGTTACATGCGACACAAGTTGAAGATTGAAAAATTTTACTAAGAAAAGGGCAATAACTCTAAAAATACTAAACAAGAGCCGGTAGAACCGGGTGATGCTTCCCAAATAGGTTTTGGACAAAGGAAGGTATACCTCCTGTAGTATCAGAGTTATGTCACAGACAAGTTCAAAGTGAAAAACAACCCAAATGTTGTGTGCGACATGTAGTCTCAATATGGTGATCATTTCTGTGAAATAGTTGTAAAATCCAACTTCAAATAACGAAATTATGGGCCGGACACGATTTTGCTGCAAAGTCATGCTGTGACCTTGACCTTCAAGGTAGCGACCCAAATGTTGCGCACAACACGTCCTCTCAATATGGTGATCATTTCTGTGAAATATACTGAACCAAAAAAGCAACTTTCCCAAGTATGTGCCAGTTGTTCAACGGTACCATTGAGATGTACACACATATGTACATGAAGTAGCTTGTAAAATTCGTTTTGTTTGCAAAATCGGTCAGCAAATCCCCGTATTAAAGCCCGATATGTTTATTCAACGTAAAAACCGAGTTTCAAAAGGAATGAAAAACTGTACTAGCATATCTACATTCAAACTTGGAGAAAGTTTCTTTTTTGTTTCAGTATAGTTGTAAAATCCAACTTGAAATAACAAAGTTATGGGCCGGACACGATTTTGCTGCAAGATCATGCTGTGACATTGACCTTTAAGGTAGCGACCAAAATGTTGCGTGTGACACATCGGACATATGGTGATCATTTCTGTGTTAAATCCAACTTCAAATAACAAAGTTATGGGCCGGCCACGATTTTGCTGCAAGGTCATGCTGTGACCTTGACCTTCAAGGTAGCAATCTAAATGTTGCGCGCGACACTTCATTTTAATACAGTGATCATTTCTGTGAAATAGTTGTAAAATCAAACTTCAAATAACAGTTATGGGCCCGACACGATTTTGCTGCAAGGTCATGCTGTGACCTTGACCTTCAAGGTAGCAACCTAAATGTTGCTCATGACACTTCATTTTAATACGGTGATCATTTCTGTGAAATAGTTGTAAAATCCAACTTCAAATAACAGAGTTATGAGCCGGACACGTTTTTGCTGCAAGGTCATGCTGTGACCTTGACCTTCAAGGTAGCAAACCAAATGTTGCGCGCGACAAGTCGTCTCAATATGGTTATCATTTCTGTGAAATAGTTGTAAAATCCGATTTCAAATAACAAGTTATGGGCCGGAAACGTATTAGGGATCAACATGCTGATCAACATTCCTGTAGTTTCATGACTCAAATCCTTTTCGAGTTACGTGCGACACAAGTTGAAAATTGCAAAATTTTACTAAGTTAAGGGCAATAACTCTTAAAATACTAAATAAGTCCACACGAAAATTCCCAGGGGCACAACTGCACATGCTTATCAACATTCCTGTTAAGTTTCATGACTCTTAAGTCAAATACTTTTTGAGTTACATGCGACACAAAAGAGAGCGAACGGACGGACAAAATGATGGACAGACAGACAAGGGTAAATCTAAATGCCCATCCCCCCTAAAGTGGGGGCACAAAAATAATCAAAATGCTATGCTTACAAATAATTTTCTTCTTTTTTATTACCTTCCTTAACATTTATAACAAAACATCCATCTTTATAATGTTCATTATTTGTACAAAACAACAATAATGTTGGTTTTTAAATGATTAAAATTCAAAGAAACATATAAAGAATATTATACTTGAAATTCCAAAGCACAAAATATTATGCCTAAAAATAACCTAAAATCAACAAGAGCTGTCGGTAGGACAGCAACGCTGGACTTTTCTTAGTGCTTGATAGTAAAAACAAAATGCTTGATACAGTTTACAGGTTGGGGTGATGAGGGTGAACAAGTGTGCAAAGTTTCAAAGCCATATGTCCATGGACTTTGAAAATATTTGAGGTATAACAGAAACTTTAGGGTAAATTCTTAGTCAAAAAAGGGGCATAATTCTGTCAAAGTGCTTGATAGAGTTACCTCCTCCTGTCTACAGGTTGGGGTCATGATGGTGAACAAGTGTGCAAAGTTTCAAAGCCATGATGTCAATGGACTTTGAAAATATTTGAACTATTACAAAAACTTTAACAAAAATTCTAAGTCGAAAAAGGGGCATAATTCTGTCAAAATGCTTGATAGAGTTACCTCCTCCTGTCTACAGGTTGGGGTCATGATGGTGAACAAGTGTGTAAAGTTTCAAAGCCATATGTCAATGGACTTTGAAAATATTTGAACTATTACAAAAACTTTAACATAAATTCTAAGTCGAAAAAGGGGCATAATTCTGTCAAAATGCTTGATAGAGTTACCTCCTCCTGTCTACAGGTTGGGGTCATGATGGTGAACAAGTGTGCAAGTTTCAAAGCCATATGTCAATGGACTTTGAAAATATTTGAACTATTACAAAAACTTTAACATAAGTGGTTACGCCGACGCCGACGCTCGGGTGACTACAATAGCTCTACTTATTCTTATCGAATAGTCGAGCTAAAAATGCTATGCTTACAAATAATTTACTCCTGTTTTATTACCTTCCATTACATTTATACCATCAAAACATCCATCTTATGTTCTTTATTTCTATAAAACTGATAATTCTACTTTTAAAATGTGATGATACATGCAAATCTATGCTCTGCATGTTGTAGGTTTGAAGAAAAGACTTTCAAAACATATATACTATATAAACCTGTTTACATGTAAACTGTGCAAAACCTACCAATCTCCCCACCAACTAAATGGGCACAGCCATTTTTTAATATCAGTGAAATGATTTTTGGAATAACTGCAGGGTTCTTCTATGTAATGATACATGCCAAATAACTATAAACTGGAATTATTAACATTATAAAAGAATACATACATGAAAACAGGCTTCGCGAAACTGCTGAAAAATTTGCCTGACATTCGGTCAGACAAACTTTCAATTCTTGTCTGACCGAAAGAACTTTTGTCTGATCGAATTTTTTTTTCAAATATATGTATATGGTAATACCTTTGTGTTTTTTTTAAAGACATAACTGGTAATAACTGGTAATACCTTTGTGTTTTTTTTAAAGACATAACAACTTTTAAAGATTTGCAACACAATTTTATTCCCTTAAATAAAACATTAGTTTATCCAGATTGATGGACTCTGTCTGGAAATCAAAACATTCATGATCAAAGCGGCCATTTTTCCATTTACCCACAAATTCTCGGCGGGCGCCTGGACTCGTATTCCTTTTGTTTCGCTTTTTTTTCTTCATTGGTTAGTTTACGATTTTTGCCGGGCGTAGCGCCAGCGTAATAATGTAACAAGCTAATTCGTTGAATTTATATCCCTCGCCGAGTGCTGGTTATTATTAACACAACAACTGAATACATAAGGCTTTATTTATATATTAATCATGGCATAAACAGTAATATTCTTTGAACTTGATAAATATTCAGGGAAATAACAGAGCCATAACTTTGTGTTAAATAGTAAAATCTGGAAATGCCAATGAGATGTATGCATACTACATAACTAATCAAGGGCCATAAATCTGAGTTATAAGTATCTGACTGGAACAAGGCGACTATATGCACATCTCCTCTTAGTATCCCATAAAGTTTCATTGAATTCCAGCCGGTGGTAGCAGAGAAGTAGCGAGGAAACAAATATTTTTCTATATAGATACTGCATAACTAATCAAGGGCCATAACTCTGAGTTAAAGTGTCTGACCGGAACAAGCCGATGATATGCGCATCTCCTCTTGGTATTGAAGGTTCCCATAAAGTTTTGTTGAATTCCAGCCACTACTTGCAGAGAAGTAGTGCGGAAACGATTTTTACTCTATATGCATACTACATAACTAATCAAAGGCTATAACTCTGAGTTAAAGGGTCTGACCGGAACAAGCTGACGATATGCGCATCTCCTCTTGATATTGATGATTCCCATAAAGTTTCGTTGAATTCCAGCCAGTAGTTGCAGAGAACTACTCCGGAAATAATTTTTACTCCATATGCATATTTCATAACTAATCAAGGGCCATAACTCTGAGTTAAAGTGTCTGACCCGAACAAGCCTACGACATGCGCATCTCCTCTTGGTATTGAAGGTTCCCATAAAGTTTCGTTGAATTCCAGCCAGTAGTTGCAGAGAAGTAGCGCGGAAACGATTTTTACTCCATATGCATACTGCATAACTAATCAAGGGCCATAACTCTGAGTTAAAGGGTCTGACCGGAACAAGCCGATGATATGCGCATCTCCTCTAGATATTGATGATTCCCATAAAGTTTCGTTGAATTCCAGCCAGTAGTTGCAGAGAACTACTCCGGAAACGAAATTCGGACGGATGGACGGACGGACGAACGGACGGTCAGATGCGCATCTCCTCTTGATATTGATGATTCCCATAAAGTTTCGTTGAATTCCAGCCAGTAGTTGCAGAGAACTACTCCGGAAACGAAATTCGAACGGACGGATGGATGGATGGACAGACGGACGGACAACGCCAAAACTATATCCCCCTCCCGATTCCATCGGCGGGGGATAATAACATCGACATTTTGGTTATTGACAGTCGTATGTATCTAGAATTTGATTGGACACTTATAATGAAACGGCGAATCAAAACTCGGTTTACATTTTTTTATTCAAGGGAGAAACTTCGGTCTTGATCGGTCTTGGATATATCCCGGTATTCGTACCGGACATAAGGTCCGGAACTCCGAAAAAAAATATCGGACCGGCCTGATTTTTGCCGGACATGTCCGACAGTCCGGCAACTTTCGCGAAGCCTGATGAATAGTTTTTCTATCTATGTGACTCAGTGGTGCAGGGACAAACTGACACCTTGTCAGAGCATGATTTATATAAATTTTGTGGATGTCAACAAGGCATGCTTCATGCAAAATATCTAAGCTTTAACATAAATTACAAGTAATATTTTTTGGCAAATGAAAATGTGTTCTCATTTAAAACTTTTAAAATTCAGCAATTCAAAAATTCAGTGGTAGTCATTGGCTAAACTTTCTGCAACTTATGATATTGGTTTTTCTTCCTTTGAAGAAAGACTGCCCACAATATGGCAATACTGATCACTCCTGTAAAGTTTGGTTGAAATCCCATCAGTAGTATGACCTGTGAAGGCAAGAAAAGATTTTTCTATTTTTAGCCCTGGCAGCTATTTTGTGCAGTGAAGCGGAACATGCCGGTGATGTGCACAATTACTGATGGTACTGATCACTCCTGTAAAGTTTGGTTGAAAACCCACTAGTAGTTTGACCAGTGAAGGCTGGACAAGATTTTTCTATTTTTAGCTCTGGCGACCATTTTCTGCAGTGAAGGGGAACGTGCCAGTGATGTGCACAACTACGGATGGTACTGATTACTGCTGTAAAGTTTGGTTGAAATCCCACCAGAATTTTGACCTGTAAAGGCCGGACAAGATTTTTGTATTTTTAGCTCTGGTGGCAATTTTGTGCAGCAAAGCAGAACATGTCATTATTGTGAACAACTGGGTATGGTACTGATCACTCCTGTAAAGTTTGGTTGAAATCACACAAGTAGTTTGACCTGTGAAGGCCAGACAAGATTTTTCTATTTTAAGGTCTGGCAGCCATTTTGTGCAGCAAAACAGAATGTGCTGTAGATGTGTACAACTAGAGATGGTACTCATCACTTCTGTAAAGTTTGGTTGAAATCCCACCAGTATTTTGACCTGTGAAAGCTTGACAAGATTTTTTGATTTTTAGCTCTGTCGGCCATTTTGTGCAGTGAGGGGGAACATGCCAGTGATCACTCCTGTAAAGTTCGGACAACCAGAAGGACCGACGTTGTAACAGGAGTCTTAATGTTCTATTGTTCTTTTTAGCCACACAAAAGAAAATAGCCAAATAACAGCATTCACGGAATGAATAACATAAAAGAGAAAGATAAGTTACCTATTGTCTCTCTAGTCACTTTATTACTGTCCCGTTAGAGCGGACGGACCTCAGGCCAAAATGGAATAAGGGGCCATTTCTTTCGTTATTTTCTATTGTTTAACCCATTACCCGATATACATGCCTTTTAACGCCTTTTTCACCCCCCCCCCTTTTTGTTGTCTCAAATGGTGAAAAAACGCCTTATTTAGGCCCCCAACACTTGTTAGCTCGACTATTCGCAGAATAATCGAGCTAATGCAGTCACCCATTTGTCGGCGTCCCTGTGGTGTAAGCTGGTATCTCCATAACTACTCAAGGGATTGGATTGAAACTTCACACACATGTTTTCTGTGATTATCTAACATGATTGGCACAAGTCCTATATAACTCTTGATTTGTTTTTTTTCATAATTATGCCCCTTTTTGGACTTTGAAATTCTTGGTAAAGTTTTTGCTTGTAAGCTGGTATCTCCATAACTACTGAAGGGAATGGATTGAAACTTCACACACTTGTTCTCTGTGATTATCTAACATAATTGGCACAAGTCCTATATAACTCTTGATTTGTTTTTTTCATACAGTGTAACTTCTGAAAACCGAACACCCTTGGGACTTGTCAAAAAGTTCGGATTTCAGAGGTTTCCGGAATTCAGAGGTTTATGAAAATGTGGACAAGACTAAGCCACTAAATGTCAAGGAAAATGTGGCCATTACTGTAATATCATATATAATAGTCTTTTAATCAAGATAAAGATGTGAAGGAAAAGAAAATATTTAACACTTATAATACTTTTAATACTTTATAATAATGATACTTGTATAAAAATCAATCAAATGCAATAAAATCCCTAAAGACGTTTGATGCATACATTGTCCCAATTAATTGTCATTTAATCCGCTAATAAACACTTCAATTTAACTGACCGCCATAAATTACTTTAATTAACCGCATCACTTCAAACATACCATTTCACAGTTTGTGATTTTAACGCGTGTCAAATTACACGATCACCGCTAATTAGTAAACAATCGATAGGGAGATTTAATCTTCCTGCTCGATTTACAATGTATTTCACACCTTTGGATATTTCCGGATTTTGGAGGTAAAATTGCATTGATTTGACTCTAATTTTACGAAAATATCGTCCGGAATTCAGAATTTAGAAGTTCCGGAATTCAGAAGTATTATATTAATAGAAAATGGAAGGAAAAAAATCAGGACCGAAAAAATTGTTCGGTTTTTAGAAGTTTCCGGATTTCAGAAGTTCCGGAATTCGGATGTTACACTGTAGTTATGCCCCTTTTTGGACTTAGAAATTCTTCGTAAAGTTTTTGCTTGTAAGCTAGTATCTCTAGAACTACTGAAGGGTTTTGTGCCTTTATTGGGACAATTTTATGCATTCATAATAATAAAGCAGTGATTTACTCGATAAAACATCTTAATAACAAGCCTTTGTACCTTTTCGGACAATTTTATGTTTTCATATAGGTAAGCATTATAACCTTATGAAACTCAATGAAACACATTTGTGACAACTTTTTGAATAGTCCAGCGTTACTGTCCTCCGACAGTTCTTGTTTTTGTTTGAGAAATGTTGTTTAAAAAAGTGACCACTTTTTCGGTGCTGCCCCCTATCCATAGATACATGAGGGGGTTGCCAGAAGGGGGATGTGCCCACTTCTGTTTGGGGGACCACCCACCCTCATCGCTAAGTAATTTTTGGACTTGTGACAGGCTAAAAATTACCCCAGGTTGATCGTGAGGTAAGGTGTAACCAATGCTGAAAAGCCTTTGACTCTATCTCAATCCATTGAGAAGTTGCAGCACTTTGAAACCAATTTTGATGGAAAAAATCAATACAAAATAGTGATTAAATTTGGCAATTTTGAGATATCTCCTCGTTGCCATGGTAACAGGAAATTTAAGACAGAGCATGTCATTACAAAGGCAATGGTCCAGTCAACATTTGTGCCAAGTTTGATTAGTATTGAATTTGAAGCTTTTGTTTGATTGGGTTTTACGTCACATCGACACAGTATAGGTCATATCGTGACGTCCCAGCTTTACTGGTGGAGGAAGACCTCAGGTGCCCTTCCATGCATTATTCCCGGCACGAACAGGCACCTAAGTAGAACCACGGATGTTCCGTAAGCTAGCTGGATAGCTTCCTCACATAAAAGAATCCAAAGTCCCTGTCGGGATTTGAACCCATTTAAAGCGGTGAGGGGCAAGTGGTTTGAAGTCAACGACCTTAACCACTCGGCCATGAACACTTTTATAGTTTTATAGCAATTTGAACTATAACAGGAGACTTTTCAATGAAAATAGCCAATTTTCACAAAATGCTCATGCTGTAATGGGTTAATAGAGGGCCAATGACCCCTAAATCTATTGTTACAAAATGAACTCTATTGTTCTCTTTTGTTCTGTTTACAGTTAGATGGCCCCATATCCCTATTCGGTAGTGCTGACTGACAGACGGATGGAGAGACCGCGAAGGCAAAAACATATGTCTCCCAAAAATAAAGATAAGTCACCAAAAGTGCTATAATTATTATTTATTTTACATTCTTTTCTTTTTGTTTTCAACCAATAATTACATATTAGAAATAAAGTTTATCTGAAATTCAGTACAATTTCATAAAAAAATCTCCTTTCTTTTTAGTATTGATAGTGTTATTTTGAATTAATTTTGCTGCTACATATAATATACATAAGAAATATCTATTCTTTGTAATTGCATAAGCAAAATCTTAAATTAATTAAATGTGTTAAAATGAAAATTATTGATCAGAGATTTATAGTAATCTGGCACCGTGTTTTTTGTTTTGTTTTCACAAAGGTTGTGAATGTAACTAATCAGCAAGTATATGGCATGTTTTTCTAAAAAAAAAACAGCCCTATATTACAGGAAACAAGCAATTATCATAGTATTGCAAGCAATCCATAAGTCCCCTACCCGTTAGAACCCCAGCAACATTCTGATGGGCCATTGGCCATTCAATTTTACCAGTGAATGAATGAACTTAAATCTTTTGAGTTCTAAGTTTGTCTATATCACAGTTATGTGTAAAGTTTCCCTGCCTGGTAAGAAAATTATGTTTATACAACCTAGTCATATTATTACGATGTGGGATTTTAAAGTAAATCCTATAAGGAATGAAGAAGTTGGAGTAAAAAATACCAATTTCTCGAAAAAAATCTAAGTTCAAGGGGGACATAATTCTGGAAATAGTCTTGCTAGAGTATTTAACCTTCTCAAAAATGTTGAGTGATAATAAGAAACATATATATGAAGTTTGAAGTAGATACATTAGGAAATAAAGAAGTTATTTAAACAAGAGGGCCATGATGACCTTAGATCGCTCACCTGACTTATCAAACTCATCCAAACAATTACCTAGACAAGCATTCTGACCAAGTCTCATGACAGGTGAGTCAAAAATGTGACCACTACAGTGTTAACAAGGATTATCCATATTTGAGCAGTGCCACCTAGTTTTTTACCCAGGTGACACATATTCAAACTTGACCTAGAAATCATCAAAACAAACTTTCAGACCAATTTCCAGGATACTTGGATCAAAACAGAAGCAACTAGAGTGTTAACAAGATTTTTCTATTTTTAGCTCCTGTGACCTAGTTTTTCATCCGAGATGTCCCATGTTCGATTTATTCCCAGCAATGACCTAGACAAGTTTCCTGACCAAGTTTGATGACAATTGAGTCAATATTGTGACCACTAGAGTGTTAACAAGGTTTTTCTATTTTTAGCTCCTGTGACCTAGTTTTTCATCCAAGATGACCCATGTTCAAACTCATCCGAGCTATCACCTAGACAAGCATCTTGATCAAGTTTGATGATGATTGATGCAAAAATGTGACCGCTAGAGTGTTAACAAGGTTTTTCTATTTTTAGCTCCGGCGACCTACTTTTTCATCCGAGATGACCCATGTTCAAACTCATCCGAGCTATCACCTAGACAAACATCTTGACCAAGTTTGATGATGACTGATGCAAAATGTGACTGCTAGAGTGTTAACAAGGTTTTTCTATTTTTAGCTCCGGTGACCTTCTTTTTCATCCAAGATGACCCATGTTCGAACTCATCCGAGCTATCACCTAGACAAGCATCTTGACCAAGTTTAATGATGATTGATGCAAAAATGTGCTGCTAGAGTGTTAACAAGGTTTTTCTATTTTTAGCTCAAGTGACCTACTTTTTCATTCGAGATGACCCATGTTCGAACTCATCCAAGCTATCAACTAGATAAGCATCCTGACCAAGTTTGATGATGATTGATGCAAAAATGTGACCGCTAGAGTGTTAACAAGGTTTTTCTATTTATAGCTCTGGTGACCTAGTTTTTCATCCGAGATGACCCATATTTCGAACTCATCTGAGCTATTATCTAAACAAGCATCCTGACAAAGTTTGATGATGATTGGGTCAAAAATGTGACCACTAGAGTGTTCACAAGGTTTTTCTATATTTAGCTCCTGTGACCTAGTTTTTCATCAGAGATGACCCATGTTCGAACTCATACAAGCAATTGACTAGACAAGCATTCTGACCAAGTTTGATGATGATTGGTTCAAAAATGTGACCACTAGAGTGTTCACAAGGTTTTTCTATTTATAGCTCCTGTGACCTACTTTTTCATCCGAGATGACCCATGTTCGAACTCATCCAAGCTGTCACCTAGACAAACATCCTGACCAAGTTTGATGATGATTGGGTCAAAAATGTGACCCCTAGAGTGTTCACAAGGTTTTTCTATTTTTAGCTCTTGTGACCTAGTTTTTCATCCGAGATGAGCCATGTTCGAGCTCATCCGAGCTTTCAACTAGATAAGCATCCTGACCAAGTTTGATGATGATTGAGGCAAAAATGCGACCGCTAGAGTGTTCACAAGCAATTGTGGACGGACGACGGACATTCACCGATCCTAAAAGCTCACCCTGAGCAAGCTCAGGTGAGCTAAAAAGACAACATTTTTTTTCATAAAAATTCTAAGTTCAAGGGAGGTAATACTGATAATTTTTGTGCTAGAGTTGTAAACCTTGTCACATATGATGTGGTTGATGACCAGAAACTTATATTTAAAGTTTGAAGTAAACACCTTAAGAAATAAAGAACTTATAGTGAAAAAGCTGAAAAATTTAAATCAGAAATCTTGAAATTCAGGCTATTTGTTGCCATAGCAACCAAAATTTTCAACATAGGAAGAAAAGATAAAGATGTGCATAATCTCCATACTGCCATCTATCCATATATCAAGTTTCATAAAAATATTTTCAGTACTTTTTGCGTTATCGCGGGATCCAGTTTTGTGGACGGACGGACTGATGGACTGATCTACCCATGTTTCAAGTTTCATAAAAATATTTTCAGTACTTTTGAGCTATCACTCGATCCAGTTAATGTGTTAAATTTGCCATATTTTCAGACTATTTGTTGCCATAGCAACCAGAATTTTCAAAATAGGAAGAAAAGAAAAAAACGTGCATAATCTCCATACTGCCATCTATCTATATATCAAGTTTCATAAAAATATTTTCAGTACTTTTTGCGTTATCACGGGATCCACTTTTGTGGACGGACAGACTGACGGACGGTAATCCTAAAAGTCCACTCCGGTTAAACCAGTAGGGGACTAACAAGATTGCATTTGTGAAAAATGCTATGCCACTGCATTAATACATGTACAACACTGATGTAGGAACAGAATTTTTTTTATTCTTTACAATTGAAGATTTCCATAATGCATAGATCTTTGACCTATCTAATTCTTATTATCAGATAAATGGTTAAATCTATTGTTATTCAAATAAAAGATCAGAGTAGGAATCTATCAATGCAGTTGAGTCTAATGAATTTGGTGGTGAAGGTCCTTATTTCACATGGCCAAAATTCCATGTCAAAATCTAGGCCAGCTGATATCAAAGTTCACTTTAAATCTTAATCTGTGCACATGGTTCAAAATTCATAGCTGCACATCAAAGGACAAGAAAGTACATGTAGGTCACATCATCAAAATCACCTGATATCAAAATTTAATTTTACAACTAAAACTGTGCACATAGTCCAAATTTCATGGCTGTACATCAAAGGACAAGAAAGTAGGTCAAAGGGTTTAATTCAAACAATCTTGATATACAGGTCCACCAAACAACATTTCATGTCAAATATCTAAGCTGTAGCTTTCTCCAATTCAGAAAACATTTGTTTTAGTTTCCTTTTACTATGTGTTCATAATGAAAATGAATGCCCCCTGGCAGGGCCAATTTTGACACCAGGGGCAAAATTTGAACAACTTTGATAGAGGACCTATGGCTGATATTATAAAACAAACATAAAAGCTCTAAGCCTTGTACCTTCAGACAATAAGATTTTTAATTTTTTACTATATGTACATAGTGACTGAAAAATCAATGACCCCCGGGGCGGGGCCAATTTTGACCCCAGGGCTATAATTTGAAGAATCTTGCTAGAGATTCACTACGCAATGTTTCATGCAAAATATCTAACCTCTAGCCTTTGTCAATTTCGAGAAGATGATTATTTAAGGATTTTACTATATACATGTACATAAAAGGAAAACCTATGACCCCGGGGCGGGGGTAATTTTGACGCTAGAGGCAAAATTTGAACATCTTTGGTAGAGTACCTATAGATGATATCATATACCAAATATCAAAGCTATAAGCCTTGTACCTTCAGACAAGAAGGTATTTTAAGTTATTACTATATGTACATGTAGTAAAAAACAAAGACCCCCGGGGCGGGGCCAATTTTCACCCCAGGGCTATAATTTGAACAATCTCTGTAGAGGTCTACCAGACAATGCCTTATGCAAAATATCTATGCTTTAAGGCCTTGTGGGTCTTTACAAGAAGATTTTTTAAATTTATTCTTATAATTCCTTTTGGTTGCCATGGCAACCAGATTCACTACGCAATGTTTCATGCAAAATATCTAACCTCTAGCCTTTGTCAATTCTTTATTGACAACTTTATTCTTTGAACAACTTTGGAAGCCCAATCAGGTTTGGTTAAAATTGAACTAGTGGTTTTTCACAAGAAGATTTTTTAAGTTCACTATATAATCTATAGAACACACAAACATACATACATGTACATACATACATACAAACATTCATACATGTACATACAAACACACACACACACACACACACACACACACACACACACACAAGTGAATCGCTATATGCCACCACATCACAGATGCTGCGGTGGCATAAAAATCATTTTCAATTGTACCTATCTTCTTAAATATGTTTGGCTGTTAAAAATTTTACCGGCAAATCAATGATACCTACGAAGGCTGACACAAATCTAAATCATTAGTTACATCAATCATTTAATCCTTAGTTACAATCATTTAATTGTCAAGTAATTAATCTGTATCGGACCGCTCCTGTTACACAGACACTTCGATTTGCTTACAGTCCCACAAATGGGCTGATAGTAAATGATCATTGCACCATCACTGTTTAGTATATAATATTTTTTCTATTTCTCTTTGATTTTTTGAAAGAGCAAAATTAAGGGAAACAACAAAACACATTCACACATTGGTGATCACCAATTTAACTCTAGGTTTTGGTTACCCTTGAGAATTGTTCATTGAGTAATCACAATTTTCTGTGCCTTTTTGATTATTGGAATTTTATTTGTATGTGTAAATGTGTGATTTTCATGTGTAATTTACGCATATATGCATCTTATCTGGAGCCCTGGGTCCACAAGACAACACCTCATGCAAAATAATTATACTCTAGGCCATGTGGCTCTGGAGAAGATATTTTTTTATTGTCACTATCATTCCTTTTGGTTGCCATGGCAACTAGATTTGTGCTTGGAATTAAATTCTTTGAACAACTTTGGAAGCCTTTCACCCAAGGAACAGTCCTGGCAAGTTTGGTTGAAATGAGCCTCTTAATGTTTTATTTTTAAAAGATCTTTTAAGTTCACTATATTATCTATATAACAGATGCATGTGCACGCACACAGATGCAGACACGTGAACATACAGATACATATTAATATGAAAAACTTACGGTCCAGGGGACGGTTCAGCTTTCTGTGTTTTCTTCATGTATTTCGGTCCAAGAGAACTGAAGGCTGTCTCTAAAGCTTCAACATCAACAGACTGGGCAATGTCATCCACTGAAGGTAGGTCCCGACTTATCTTCTGGGCTTTGGCAGGATCTACTTTAGAATAGGCTGCAATCAACTGGGCTAGCACTTTTGAATCTTTTGGATTATTTCTGTAATTGATGAAGATCTTTCAATAATAATTTCGAATGTTTACCTAGCAAGCATTTTTACTGCAGAAGGCTTGAGTTACCTTTGCCAAAAGTTCTTAAAAGATAATAAACATTCTATGCTCTCGGCATTAAAGTTACACAAAAATAGACTTAAATCTATACAAGTCTACATAAACTATGTGACCACCAAGGTGGGACCAATTTTAATCTGAGGGATATGACTTTTTAAAAACTTTTTTAAAGGCCCACACGATAATTCTACACGCCAAATTTTTTAGCTATAGGCATTGTACTTTCAGAGAAGAGGGTTTTCAAGACATTTAACACAAGTTTATGTAAACTAAGTGACCCTCCAGAGTGGCCATTTCTCACCCCAGGGGCATGACTTATATAACTTATGTAGATAACCATTAAGCAATCATGAATGCTACATGCCAAATATCTAAGCTCTTGGTATTGTAGTTACACAAAGGATGTATTTTCCAATACAAGTTCATAAGAAACTAAGTGACACATTGACCAATAGGGCATGATTTATATATCTTTTGTACAGAACTATAAGGTGATGCTTCATGCTAAATATTTAAACTGACAGCATTGTCTTTATTAGAAGTTTTTAAGATATTTCTATTATACAAGTCTATATCAATTCAATGACTCGCTAGGCAGGAGTAATTTTGACCCCAGGAGCATGATTTATTTACCTTAGTAGAGGACCACAAGGTGATGCTACATGCTAAATATCTAAGCTCTAGATATTGTAGTTTTTAAGGAGAAGTCTTTTAAGATATTTTTACAAGTCAATATAAACTAACTGACCCCTGGGACAGGACCAATTTTGACCCTAGGGGCATGATATATAGAAGTCCACTTGGCAATGCTACATGTCAAATATCTTAGCTCTGGGCACTGCAATTACATAAAGAAGACTTAAATGTATTTTCCAATGTAAGCATCTGTAAACTAAGTGACCCCCAGGACAGGGCCTTTTTGACCCCAGGGGCATGTTTTACATACCTTTTATAGAGGTCCACATGGCAATGTTACATGCCAAATATCTAAGCTCTGGGCAATGTAGTTTCATAAAAGACCTTTTAAAAATGTATTTTCCTATCTAAACTTAGTTACCCTATGGACTGGCCATTTTAACTCTAGGAACATTATTTATAAAAGTTTTGTAGTGGACCATAAGGTGATGCTACTGGTGAAATATCTAAGCTCAGGGCATTGTAGTTTCTGAGAAGAATTGTTTTTAAAAATTTCATTTTTAAAGTCTATTTTTAGCTTCTGTGGCCTACTTATGCATCAGACTTGAAGCATTTACAAAAGGTTTGTAGAGGACTACCTCCTGTGAAATCACTCTGGAAACAATTAATAAGTAACTATCTATTTCACAAACTTTATCAACCTCCAACGTTTTGAAGGGTTTAACCACTCTTTATCATGGAGTTTGCTGTTTATTTCATAAATCACATATTTGTCTTCTTTTCTCTTACACTATGTAATGTATTCTTAAATTGTTTTATAGTATACATGCATTTTTTTTCTAACCATTGGCCCTGAAATCTCTCACCTAAATATAAAACTCTCCATGACAAGGAACAAATAATATTGTTATCTATGAACAAAAGTAAGATATAAAATTTAAACTTAAAACTGATATCACAAATTTCATATCTGTATCTGAAATAGTGCATGTGTAAAACATTACTGTTGTTATTGCTAAGGGAAAAAAACAGTTTCAAAAGATGTGTACATATAAGAAATATCAATGACCCACTGGGGCGCAATTTTGACCTCAAGGCTTTTATTTTGTAGATACCCATAAGAAGATTTTTTATGCTCAAAATGTAACCTCTAGCTTATTACACGTTTGACTGTAGTAAAAACTAAAAAAATCTTCTTTTGAAAAAACAGTCCGGACACGAATGAAGTGGGAACACACAGACGGACAGACAGATGTTGCAATCATATTATGCCTCCCTTTGGGGGCATAAAAATAATGATGATAATAGTAGAGTAATAGTGGTAGCATTCCTTGTTAAGCCATGCATGCACTTGACTGTCCTGCCTGTTTGACAGGGGAATAATGTGAAGTGTGATAGAATATTCAAATTCTAGCACAAAAGCAGACACTTTGTTAATTGTAACATGATTTTTAAGGATAAATCTCTAGAGATGCTTTGGGAAAGATATCAAATCAATACTATCTTTTTCAAATGTCTGGACTTTTGCTAAATTTACAAGAAAGAATTTTTTTTACTGGAATCTAAATAATATATGTATACACTTTACTTACTTGCGTAATTCTTCCAAGAGTTTAATTGCATTCTCAGCACTTCCATGTTTCAACATGAAGTTGGTATTCACTTTCAACAAGGTTTGCATGGCCTCAGACTTTGTCTGTAACAAAACAAGAAGGCCATGATGGGCCTGAAATCGCTCACCTGTATATAGACTTGGTAGACACCTACTAAAAGATCTTTCATGCTTAATATCTAAGCTGTAGCTTTTTGGGTTTTTTAAAAGAAGATTATATAAGTTTTTACTACATACAAATAAGGAAAATCAATGACCCCTGGGGTGGGGCCAATTTTGACACTGACTAGACGATGTTTCATGCCAAATATTTAAGCTCTAGCTCTTTCGGTTTTCTATCAGATTTTTTAATTTTTTATCAGGTTTTTTTCTTTCGGTTGCCATGGCAACCAGAGTTCTAAATGGAATTAAATTCTTTGAACAATTTTTAAAGTTGACTACCAAAGGAACGTTCCTGTGAAGTTTGGATGAAACTGGCTAAGCGGTTTATGAGGAGATGTTGTTTAAAGTAAAAGTTTAAGGACAGATGCCGGACTGACGCCGGATGAAAAGCAATCACAATAGCTCACCATGCCACTTTGTGACAGGTGAGCTAAAAACAACAACAAACAGGTAAAGACAGGTTTTGATCAAATGCAACATAACTACTAAATAGGACAGATGGCTTTGTCCATGAAGGAAACTGCTGGTTAAACATATTCTCTCAAATTATGAATCATGGGTAATAGCCCTAATGGGGTCACAATTGTTTCCTCAAAAGACACCAGTGGTGATTATTTCAGACTTGGCAACTTGAATATTTTTGTTTCTTCTATGTAAGTCTGTATTAGGGCTGTCATTGAATATCGCAATATCGATATATCATCGATATTCATCATCCGATACAATATCGATACACACTTTCAAATATCAAGACAATCTAAAATTTATGTATTTCTGTTAGTTCACTATACTGGAAGATGAAGAATATACCTCTCTATTTTGCCTAATAAGAGGTCACCTTTTTCCAGTTTTCTTGGCTAACTTGAAATTTAAACTCCGTTTTCAAATGTCAGCGACAAAAAATAACAGAAAATAACAAACTTTTTGTTATGTTAGTTTGTAGTCAGTAAAATGTCTAACACAAGCATGCACATATTTAAATATGTTTCATTGTATCTACTCTCAAAGTTGATATATTGATATTTGTTTCTCAATATATATCGATACAAAATTTTCCATCAATGACAGCCCTAGTCTGTATAGTTATTCCCAAGACATGACTCAACAAGAGCCACCGCCGGGCGGGGCAACGCTCGACTTTTTACTTTCTCTAAAAGCAAACAAAGAAATGTTTGAACAAAATCTTTAAATATACTATTTTATATATATATATAAATAGAAACACGCAATTCTTTAAATAGAAAATTCTAAAAATAGAAACACGCAATTCTATAAATAGAAAATTCTATAAATAGATACACATGGTGACATGTGGTGGTGACACGTGGTGTTGACACGTGGTGTTGACACATGGTGTTGACACATGGTGACACGTAGTGGTGGTGACACGTGGTGGTGGTGACACGTGGCAATGACGTGGTGGTGGTGACATGTGGTGGTGGTGGTGACAGTGACACGAGGTGGTGACATGTGGTGGTAATCATGGTCACAAAGATGCAAAGCAAATCATTTTCAGCAGCCAAAATAACTCAAATTTGCTCATTCTGTATCCAAAAATTACTGGAGCTTCACAAAGAAATAAAGTCCTTGAAACACAAAATTAAACTGAAGATAGTCTTGAAGTTTTAGACACTGTTTTTTAATAATGACTCTTTATTAACTTGGACAATTGCCTTACCTGATGTTTGCGAGTCCAGTTTACAGCTGCTGACAAAACCTCCATTGCAGACTCTGCATCTTCCTCACTCATGTACAATGTAACAAGGGCAGAAACCTACAAATCAAAGTTACTCTATTAGTTACAAGAGGGCCATGATGGCTCTGGATTGCTCACCTGAGATACATTGCTAGAAAAGCTAAAACAATTCTTCTTATTCAATGTTTAAGTCAGTAATGAAGTCATTTTTCACACTGTGTAATTGTTAAAAAACATGCATATGTATGCTACAAAATGCTTCATGGCATTGTAATTCAAAACAAACTATTTAATTAAAAGTGTTTATTTTAGTCTATATGAACTTAATGTACCCCAAGGGATTGAACCAATTTGGTACCAGGGCTGTGATAAACTTTTTTAGAGGACCATAAAGTGTAGCTACCTGCCAAAAATTAAGCTCTGGGCATTGTACTTTCAAAAAGGCAATTTTACTACACAAGACTATGTAAACTAAGTGACATCTATAGCAGGGCCATTTTTACCCTAGGGGCAAGACTTACTAAACTTTTGCAGGGATCCACAAGGCAATACTACATGCCAATGATGTGTAAACTCTTTGCAATGAAGACTTACATGTACAGTCTACTCCACTTATAACAAGATCGGTTTTAGTGACATACTGCTTATAATTACATTCTACTGTGTCCCGGCCTTTTTCCTTCTATTTTCCTTTCATTTTATATCACTTATAACAAGATCAGAAGCAATTATTGAGGAATAAGCAATCAAATGTGTCAGCCTTGTTCTGTCAGCACTCCGGCCTAAATTGTCCTCTAGGTGATAACAACTTTTAATAATGAGCGATAAGCAGAAATGTAGCAGCTGATTTCTTGCAGTGTTATTCCGTGCTGGTGATAAATACACTGCATGAATTTTGAAAATGAAATTAAAAATGTTAATAGTTATAAAAACAAGCATTTGATAGTATTGCGGGCAATACAGTAGTCCCCTACCGGTCCCTCAAAAAGTTCTTTAATTGTCATACACTCCTGTGTATTGCCATTTATAATGAATTTGAGGATGAAGTCTGTATTTGAAAATATCGACCACAAAACATAATAAAATAAGTTTGTCTATATCACAGTAATGTGTTAAGTTTCCATGCTTAGTAAGGAAATTATGTTTATACAACCTTGTCATATTATTACGATGTGGGATTTTAAAGTAAATCCTATAAGGAATGAAGAAGTTGGAGTCAAAATACCAGTTTCTCGAAAAAAATCTAAGTTCAAGGGGACATAATTCTGGAAATAGTCTTGCTAGAGTATTTAACCTTCTCAAAAATGTCGAGTGATAATAAGAAACATATATATGAAGTTTGAAGTAGATACATTAGGAAATAAAGAAGTTATTTAAAAAAGACAACATTTTTTCCCCTAAAAAATCTAAGTTCAAGGGAGGTAATACTGATATTTTTTGTGCTAGAGTTATAAACCTTGTCACATATGATGTGGTTGATGACCAGAAACTTATATTTAAAGTTTGAAGTAAACACCTTAAGAAATAAAGAACATATAGTGAAAAAGCTGAAAAATTTAAATCAGAAATCTTGAAATTCAGGCTATTTGTTGCCATAGCAACCAGAATTTTCAACATAGGAAGAAAAGAAAAAGATGAGCATAATCTCCAGACTGCCATCTACCCATATTTCAAGTTTCATAAAAATATTTTCAGTACTTTTTGAGATATCACTGGATCCAGTTTATGTGTTAAATTTGCCATATTTTCAGACTATTTGTTGCCATAGCAACCAGAATTTTCAACATAGGAAGAAAAAAAAAAGACGTGCATAATCTCCATACTGCCATCTATCCATATATCAAGTTTCATAAAAATATTTTCAGTACTTTTTGCGTTATCGCGGGATCCAGTTTTGTGGACGGACGGACTGACGGACTGACAGACTGACAGACAGACAGACAGACGGACGGACAGACAGACGGACAGACGGACGGAGGGTAAACCTAAAGTCCCCTCCGGTTAAACCGGTAGGGGACTAAAAATACACGCGGTTAGAAGTCGTATGTGATTTCAAATGTTTTGTTTAAATTCAATGATAGCTAGATATATTTATATGCATGTATATTTAAATAAAACAAAAACTTCTTAGTGCAAAGAGTTACCTCCAGTTACTCTTTGTGAAAGCGAAAGTAGAAATTAATGATGCTCGGCGGTGTCGGATTTCTCAATTTGTTCTGTCCAGGTTATAACAAGACCCGGTTATAACGAGGAACCATGCGAAGTCCCGACAATCTCTTTGTTTCTGGAGTGCACTATATTTTCCTAAAATTTTTTAACTAAATGACCCCTGGAATGGGGACATTTTAAACAAAAGAGGTATGATTTATGTAACTTTTGTACAGGACCACAAGGTGATGCATCATGCAAAATATCTAGGCTCTAGGCATTGTAGTTTCCGAGAAACAAGGTTATGTAAACTAAGCAATCCCCAAGGTGGGGACATTTTTGACCCAAGCTGCATAATTTTTCACACAACTGTTGAAGATGCTTCCTTGAAAATTTCTGATCTCTGGGCATTGTACTTTCAGAAGTGTTTTAGACCTTTTAAGAACTGTATAGTGGGAAACTGTTTAGTAAATTTTATTTCCCCTTTGTTCCCTTTTTTCAAGGATACACAAATTAAACAAGGAATTATCATAGTATTGCAAGCAATCCATAAGTCCCCTACCGGTTAGAACCCCATCAACATTCTGAAGGGCCATTGGCCATTCACTTATGTTTCAATTTTTCTCTATTTTAAGTAAATTTGTTGGAAAAGTTCTTTAAAAGTGATCACAGGAAACAGTTTTTATGAACAGACAGACAGACAGACGGACTGAAGGACACTCTAAAGTTAATATTTGAAACATCCCTGTTACCAAAATATAACATTTTAAAAGCAAAATTCTTAAAGAGGAGATAACTCTTGAATTAAAGATGCAATTTCATAAAAAAAATTCAGCTCTTTTTGACTAATCACAAATATTGTTATATTTGCCATGTTTTAAGCCTATTTGTTGCCAAGGCAACAGATATTTTTTCAAAATAGGAAGAACAGATAAGACATGCATAATGTCAAGACTGCTTTCTACCCATATGTCAAGTTTCATAAAAATATTTCCAGTACTTTTTGAGTTATCACTGGATTCAGTTTATGTGTAAAATTTGCCATATTTTCAGTTTATGTGTTGCCATAGCAACCAGAGTTTTCAACATAGGAAGAAAAGAAAAAGACGTGCATAATCTCAAAACTGCCATCTACCCATATTTCAAGTTTCATAAAAATATTTCCAGTACTTTTTGCGTTATCACTGGATCCAGTTTATGTGTAAAATTTGCCATATTTTCAGCTTATTTGTTGCCATAGCAACCAGAATTTTCAACATAGGAAGAAAAGAAAAAGACGTGCATAATCTCAAGACTGCCATCTACCCATATGTCAAGTTTCATAAAAATATTTCCAGTACTTTTTGCGTTATCACTGGATCCAGATTATGTGTAAAATTTGACATATTTTCAGCCTATTTGTTGCCATAGCAACCAGAATTTTCAACATAGGAAGAAAATAAAAAGACGTGCATAATCTTCATACTGCCATCTATCCATATACCAAGTTTAATTCAAATATTTTCAGTACTTTTCAAGTTATCGCGGGATCCAGTTTTGGACGGACGGACTGACAGACAGACGGACGGAGGGTAAACCTAAAGTCCCCTCCGGTAAACCAGTAGGGGACTAAAAACACAAAATATATTACAAATAAAATGTTTAAACTAATCTTTAGTTTTTCCCTTTTTAAATTTTTTTTAATAGGTTGGTCTAGTCAGACTTGATGTTTTGTCCAAGTATGAATCATTTCCATAAATAAACTGACAAAATTCAATCATTTGATCTTGAAAATTAAGGTCATTTAAAGGTCAAGGTCATATCTAAATAAGTCAACATGTCCCACTGGTCACAAGTATTGTTTTGACCATGTATGAATTTAATCGTACATAAATAACAAAATTAAGACAACTTAACGAAAATTCAATAACATGACCTAGATAGTCAAGATCATTTAAAGGTCAAAGTCAGTTCAACCTTTTAGGAGGACTCTTTGTCAAAAGGGTTATTTAGTCCAAATATGACAATAAATAGTTCATTAAACACAAACTTACAGCCAGTTATAGCAAAAACCAATTTGACTTTCAAGGTCAAACATGAGTCAAGGTCCATTTGAGTTTCATATACATGAAGGTCTAATCCTACAGCATGTTGTATCTAATCGAGAACATTTTACAATAAATAAGTTGAAGTCCATCAATAAATTTGACACCTTCCATCTCGAGATATTTTCACACCTTTATTGCCCACGAAGATGACTGACAATCAACTTATGCTGATCAACTTGTATGACTGGGCGTTAATTACACAGCATTGTGTTCTAACAACCTTTGTATGCATTTCTATGAGTGAAAATATGTTTTAATTGTCATCATTCTAAATGCTGTAGTTGTATTTAACTAGAAATTGTCACAAGGGCCTAATACCCCTGACACATGTTTGTCAGAAAACATGCTTTTTTGTTAATAATTTTGCACATAGGGAGAATGCAGTAGTTTATAGATGTTTTTCAAATGTTTTTAAATTTTTTGTCCTACATCAATAAGATAAATTAAAGTTTGGATTATTAGTTTTCCATGACTTCTTTTAAGGGCAATCAGTTCTTTCTTCCTGAGATTTCTTTTCAGTGAGGTCTATCTACCTATATAGTTTCATGTTGATACCTTTCATAGTTCAAAAGTTATATATAGAAAAAGTTCAAAGTGTAACAGGAGCCTGGTTTCTACTGGGTGATGCTCCCGGAATAGGTTTTGGACACAGAAAAACACAGAAAAATACACCTCTTGTAGTTTCAGAGTTATGTCCCTGGACAAAGTTCAAAAGGCAATAATTCAAAAATTAAAGTTATCGGCAGGACACCAATTTGGACTGACAGATGGACTGACTGACAACCCGACGACTATATGCTCCCCCAAAATTTTTCGGTGAGCATAATAAGGCAAGGCAGAGTT